GCGATTGCCTACCTCGAGTCCCGCATCCGCACTCATTCGCTCTGTCTCAAAATACAGACATCACGGGGCAACTATCTCTCCGACTTGCTCATCCGTACTGAGCATGTGGACTTTTCAGACCCACAGTTGGCCAGCCGAAACATGGACGATCTCATTCTCAACGTCGCTGCATTCCAATCGGATCACTTTACGGATCGATCGGCTGTGCTTGGCCAATTGCCGCCAGAAGGGCCGGCTACCAAGGTCGTGCTGGTTACCTTTGACCGAAACTTGCGACTTCGAGCTCGAGCAAGAGGGATCGATGCGGTGGATGAGAAGGAGCTCAAGGGTGTACTGTCGGGTGGATGATACCGCGTCGTGGATTTTGCCCCTGGTCGCCGAGTGTTCACGGTGCCTGCTCGATGCTATGCATCGTTTTCGTAAAGCAAAGCAGCCGTCCCCTGTGCGAGTCTGAGTCATGAGATGAGATGGCCCCGCCGGTAATTGCCGCAAGCGGGAACCGGTTAATTTCCCACAGGTTGACCCCGCAAGGCACTAAATAGAACCAGCCACCCCCATAAAGGCCAAGCGATCCATGGCATTAACAGGGGTGGGAAAGCGGGAACGAGAGGGGGAGAGGGGTGAGGTATGGGAGAGGGTGGAAAGAGGTACTGAGCTGGTGTATGCATGTACAATGGATTGGAAGAGTGGTGAAGGCGATACAAGTGGCATGCAGCTATGGTTGGATCGTGTGGGAAAGGGTGTGTGTAGGGTGACATCTTGGTGATGGGATGGTTATGGTTCCTGATCTCATGCTATATCCCCTCCCTCCCCGCTTCTGAAACCTATGCTACTCCTGGAGATCCCATTCTCTCTTTCGTACCTTCATCGCATCAGCTCTGCTACTTGAACACCTCCACCTCCCACTCCGTACTAGAGAAACCCCAACCTCGACATGTTCAAATCGCTCGTCACCCTCTCCCTCCTCGCTGTCGCCTCTGCCCAGCAAGGCCTGTTGACCGTCACCGAGCCCAGTACTGCACACTGGTGTGCGTCTTTCATCCACACTCTGATTCCTAGCATCATCGAGAAGATCTACACTGTCCTGATAGCTTATACGCAGGGATCGCCCAGTCGCTCAACACGCTCGCTTGGTCCGCCCAGTCTGGCGCACCGACCACCTTCTCCGTCTTCCTCAACAACCCGGATCCTAGCGTCTTGGTGGGGAGCGCCTCGGGTTACCAACTGTACGATCCTCGCTGACTCCAGACCTCCAAGTACGCCCTGGTGTCTGTCCGTGAGTGCATCGGGGCGCAGCTGAGGGCTTTGTGTTGATCCCAGAACCGCTGTACGAGTACTCGAAGACCATCAACCCGTATGTGACATTCCTTTGACGTACGAAAGCTAGCTAATCCTCTAGAGGCCAGATGAAGCCTGCCACGGGATACACTATCGAATTGACCGACACGCTCAACTCGTCTAGTGAGTTGTTGACCCTCTCACCTTCCCCACTCGCCCGCCACGACCGGATTGGAATGACCACGCTGACGCGCAGACATCTACGCCACGTCCGAAGTGTTTGAGATCAAAGCTGTCAACTCGCCTTACCCTCCCCAGAGCTCTGCCCCGAACACCAGCGGCGTCGTCTCTGTTTCTCGCGCGGCTGCTTCGGGCTCTTCGCCCAGCTCGAGCGCCAGTGCCGCCGCTTCCAGCAAGGGAGCTGCCACTCCCGCCAACGCTGCAAACTTTGGACTCGCTGGTGCGGCCATCTTAGGTGGCTTGGGCTTGCTCCTTTAGGGGAATTCAGTCTGAAATTAAGTCGGAGGAGAAGGAGGAAAAGGGAGGGGGCGGGGGGGGCTATAAGGTCGTGGACATTGATTTCGTCGTTCTTTTCTTTTCTTCTGTGCTTTGGTAGCGTGATACTCGTTTGGATAATATGCATATATGAAGTGATTTGATCTCGTTCTGTGACGGCGAGCAGAGAGCTGCATAGAGTGGTGAGAAAGTAGTGGGCTCGAGGTCGGTTTGTATGGTGCGGAGGTTCGGAAGTCTCGTGACGATATCCGATAACGCAACGGACGGATGAGATGATGATACGCCTGTTCTGTTGGATCTGTCCGCAGACTCTCTCATCGCTGTGATTCGTCAACTTGGGATCCACATAGACCACATACAGCCTCCGTCTCAGGTTACAGTAGGAGCGTCTGCATCTCTGCACCTTTCGCCCTGCAACTCCAGCATGGACACGACAGCGACAAAGCCCGGATCACCGGGCAGACTGAACAGTCTCGTAGGTACCCACCCTTGGTCTCTCTCTGGCCCTCTCCCCCGAACCCCTTCTCTCCCCCTGTCTCTTGTCTACTATAAGTGGAGGACACACTCATAGGAAGCACGACCTCGTCCTCGACTACATCAACCATCATGCCTTTGCGGCTACAGCCAAAGTCCTCGCTCAACCTCGGCCCCGCCGCACGCCTACCCCGGGCGAGCCGAGCGATGCAGGTGCCGCTGCTAGAGAGGAGGGCGTTGGCGAAGCGATGGATGTGGAAGGGAATACCGAGGCGAACGGAAAGGAAGAGCTCTTGGGTGGGGTACAGAAAGATCGGAATAGAGAGCGGTTGTTCACAGACTCTGAACTCGAGTCGATCGAGCAGCGCAGAGGTACGTGGAGGCCACTTGTCCTAGCCCTGCTGCGTCCTTGCCATGTCGCATTCTCGTGCTCGATCGGCCCAAAGCATGCTGCGCTGTCTTTGCACATGCTGGATCCTGTAGGCTCTGGGAGAATATCGCTGACCACGCAGTCGTCCTCAACTTGATTCTCAATGGAGCCATCATGCGCGCGGTCGAGGTGCTCAATGCGCACTTCCCTGCTGTCCTCGACGAGACTATCCCGGTGCCGACGCGTACGAATGGCTCGAATCATACCGTCTTGGGAGGGCAGCCTGGGCCGCCCGAGGCTTCTATAGTGTCCTTGACCGGTACGTTCTGGCTGAGAACCGCACATCATCGTGCTGATACCAGCGCCATCCACCTCTGCGTCCGGGTCTAAGCATTCCGTCCCTGTCCTCTCGCACTCGACTGTTCCGGCCCACGTCAAGCTCAATCTGCAAATCCAATCATTCATCGAATCGTTCAGGAACCTCGCCCCGAGCTCTCCCTCCTCCCCCGCCTCTTCCATTTCGAGTCTCACTTCGTCGATGCACGTCTCGACGCATAATCTCACCGCGGTCGCCCCTTCCACCACGAGCAATGGGACGGGAGGGAGCAGCGTCTCTCCTGGCGTGACGTTGACCAACGCGTTGACGGCGGCACAGGGGCTGCATGCTGAAGCGAAGAAGTTGCCCCCGGACGTACGCGCAGTGTACCTCCAGGAGATCAAGGATGTCGGGGCGTTGTTCGCATACACGGACCCTGAGACGAGCATCCTGAGCGGGTTTCTCGCGCAGGAAAGGAGAGTCGCATTGGCTGAACAAGTCAACTTTGCCATCCTTGGTGAGTCGCTTTCCAGAAGTCCTTTTCTTTTGAAGGTCAACAAGGCTGATCGACTTCAGCTACCGAGGAGCGCTCTGGCCCGGCTTTCCTGCACTCCATCGCCCAGCGTACCCGCGCGCTGTATGCGATCATGAGCGCCAAGGGTATTGATCCTCGGCCGGCGGGGTATGACGAGCGGGGGGGCAAGAAGGATCATTTGTCAAGGGCAAGTGCTGGGATCACTTGTCTGCTCGACTTTGGCTGACGGGCAGTATTGGAAGAACCAGACGGGGGACAAGTACCAATTCGACCTTCACGAATTCACAGACCTACCCTGGCAATGATGAGTGAGGCTAGCCGTGTGGCGGAGCCGGGGGTCGGCGCGTTGCGGGTGGAAGGTGTGCGGAGAGATAGGGGAGGGTCATGCGATGATCGATGGCGTTGGCGTGTGGACAGAGGGTGAGGCGAGTATGGAATAAAGTGAATTATCATGTGTATCGTTGTAGATCTCGGCATGCGAATTGTACCAGCGATTGTCGTCTCGGTACAGGTTTTACGTGGTCATGTGGCGCGTCGTGTCCCCTTGGCAGTTTCGCACGAACTTTTCGTGCAGTGCAACTAAAGATGGTTTCACGGCGAGCTCTCAAGCGGGGCAGGTGGATCGAGATCCGGGTTGAAGTGGACGCTGCCCTGAAGCTAAACAGCCTTAGATTTCAATGTGGGTCGTTCTTGACGCGCAGCACGGATGTTTACTCTGGCGCCTCTGGCACACGGATTGGGCCCATGACAATATGCAGGGTTTCAACACCGATAACCCTGCCTGTGCTTCCTTCAAGTCGCATCGAGGCTTCAGGCCGGGCACCGGGGGCGGGGTCAACAAGGATGTATAACCCTGCGTATCGCTTTCGAAGCGCAACACGCCACCCTATCCTCCAGCGAAATCCCGTTCCGTCGCTGCACCGCACCTCACTGTCCCGCGGCGCACAATTTGTTTGACAAAACATCTGCGAAAAAGAGTGTGGATGATTCAATACGGACCGGCGCAGCGTGGTGTTCCCAACCTTCAACACCGCCCTCGCTGGAGGCACAGTGTTGATGCTGCGGAAGAATGAAGACACGCTTTCCCCGAGGGCCCAGTTCGCGGACAGAATACGACTGGAAGGATGGGGTGCATCGGCTTGCGCCATGGATCAGTAGCAACATTGTGGGTGACGAGCTCAACCTGCGGTGTCCACTCCCGAAGCAGATACCCCAGACACCAACACCCGTGCGTGCCACTACGTCGAGCTGGACCGCACGCTGTCGCGTGGTGTTTTGGGCCAGTACATTCACGAAACGCCCATGCACTGCCGGAGTAGTCAATCACCTTACGAGCGGAACGACCTGGACCTGAAACGAGTCGGACGAAGCATTCCCCGTTTCATGATGACAGTCGCCCATAGGCAGGCGGGACATCCTGCCGCCCAGACAAACCCTGCATGCAGCGCGCAAAAAGCCTGTTTGTGGCTATATAAACTTTTTGCCAACACCCAAACACCAATTCCTCTGGCACATCAGTAGTTCAGTGGTTAGAATTTCTGCCTTCCACCTCAACGTGTGTGATTAGCAGAAGGCCCGTGTTCGATTCACGGCTGATGTACAAACATAATTTTCTACCACCACATCAGTAGTTCAGTGGTTAGAATTTCTGCCTTCCATCTTACGATCGAAAAGCAGAAGGCCCGTGTTCGATTCACGGCTGATGTAGAATATGTTTCTTTTTTGCCTTTCTTCCTTTATGTCTCTCTCCTTCTACAATAGTCTTGACTGACACTGTCCTGTGTTCGATTCGCGGCTGAGGGGGAATAGGTTTCCTTTTTGCCCCTCCCGTCCTCACTTTCCTGCTCAATATGACATGACACCTTACTCGAGGGGGAGACAGGTGCGGGTCGGTGGGCCTGAACGGCCTATGGACTCTTTCGCGGTGTGCTGACCTTGACCGGTCACCACTGTGTCATTATCTCCCGCATTCACCCGGCTATGCTGGGATGTGCACCAAAGGGTTGAGGTCGGGTCAAGGCAGGAAGCGTGAAAGGTCACCGGACCGATCCGTCTTGTGCAAATCCGTGACAATTCCTTGCGAACACATATGCATCACCACACACTGTCGTCTACACCTATCGTCGCGGCATGCCCCGTCCCCGTCCTCTCAAAGCCCGTTGAGCCGCTCCACGGGGCATCTGCGGTCCGGCATCCTGAGCCTGTACATCAGCTGGAGGTGCCCACAATCTTCGCCATCTCAACCCACCTCGCTCTGGGGGTTTCGGACCGTCTCGTCCACGCTCAATATCAGGCACGCGGCATCGATGGCGCTGCTCAACGCGTTGGTCTTGACCAATGCGGGCTCCCAAACAAACTTCTTCATGTTGTCCTCGACGCCCTCTCCTTCGACATCGACACCGGCCCACACGTCGCCTTGCGCGTGTCGCATGCGCAGCTTGTTGAGCAAGTCGGTGGCGTCCAGACCGGCGTTGTCGCAGATCTGTCGGGGAATGACCTCGAGAGCCTTGGCAACGGATCCGATGATCAATTGCTGCTTGCCCATGATGGTTCGAGAGTGTGCCCGAAGGTACTTGGAGATTTCCATCTGTCCCGTTAGACCTCGGAAGTAAACATAGAGAGCAGACGTACCTCGCATGCACCACCTCCGGCGACGACGTGGTTGTTCTTGATCGCTCGCTTGACAATCATGATCGAGTCGTGCAGACTTCGCTCGACCTCGGCGATGAATTGCTCGGCACCACCTCGGAGGATCAACGTGCACGTCTTGGCCTGCGGGCAGTCCTCGAACAGGTTGAATCGCTCGCCTCCAATCTGTCGCTCCTCGAACGAACCGCACTCTCCCAGGTGGTGGGGCTCGATGTCAGAAGTAGTCGACTGAATGGACCCTCCAACGGCTTGCACGACTCGCTTCAAGTCATCAGCGGTCACTCGTCCCGCGCAGAAAATGTCTCGATCGGCAAAGTATTGCGTGGCGAGATCTCCGATCGGGAGCTTGGACAAAACAACCTTGGCGCCGGTAGCCACGATTGCCTCGAGTTTTCGGTAGATAATGGACCATTCCGCATCGACAATCGCCTGGTACTCTGACACCTCGTTGACTCGGATCTCGGCATTGTCCTTCTCGGCCTTGAGCTCGAGCTCGACGTTGAGACACAAGACTTTAGGGTTTTTGAATGATTTCGGTTGTTGCTCGAAACCGGCGTAGGAAAAGGTCTTCTTGAAAGCGACACCTCGGATGAGCTGACTCTCCTGCATTCCTCCTCCGGGAACCTTCTTGACACCGATGAGCGACTCGTCCAAGTCGTTTTGGTCGAGAGACAGGACGGCGTCGACGGCCATGGCAGCGAAGAAAGGGGTTTGGGAGTGGATGAGTTTCGAGGACATGGAGGTGGAGGCACACTTGAGGAGGAGGTCTCGGAATTTGCTACCGGGTCAGCTCGTGTCACTATCCCCACTTTCGAGCGACATACTCTGAGTCGGATTTATCTATTGTGACAGCAATCTCGTTGATCTTCTTCACGGCCTAATTCTGTGAGCTCTAGACGTACACGGACTAGGGCGGGATCCTCAAACCTACCAAATCTCGAGCCATTCGAAGACCCTTGATGATAACGTGCACTCCGACTCCCTCTTCGATGAACGGCCTGACCTCTTTCATTATCTCAGCAGCACTGAACATGTTAGCCGCGTGTTGCTGACTGAAACCCATGCCGCTCACAGCAAGGTCACACTGGTGGTTCCGTCTCCGACCTCGGCGTCCTGAGCTCGAGCGATGTCTACAAGCGTTCGGGCAGCCGGGTGAACAATGTCGAGGAGCTTGAGGATGGTCGCTCCATCGTCTGACAGTCAATATGGAGCAAACCCCGAGGACGTATCAACTCACTCGAGATGGTAGCTTGGCCCCGCTCGTCCACGATCAGCTTGTCCATACCACGAGGACCGAGCGTCGTGGCGATGGTCTGGGCCACAGCGAGACACGCGGAAATATTCGACAGGAGCTGAGGAGTTCCCTGAGAGGTGTCTGTACCCTCTGCACGAGCGTTAGTTGCGGGTCAAGTCGATGATCAAGATAGATTCCACAAACCTCGGAGGAGAACAACCGTCGGTTGCTACTGGTCAGCATGTCACTCCAAGGGGCGGAGCGTGTCGAGAAAGGCCACTCACCATCTGAGGGAGTCGTCCTTGCATTTTGACTCGTTCTGACGCTTGTCGAGGTGGATGAAAGGTCAGAAGAAGCGGGTTGAAAGAGATGGAAGGTGAGTTGGGTCCGATATTCTCGAAACGCGTCCCACCGAAACCTTGGAAACGGGGGGGGGGGGGCGAGATAGGCGTGTCACGGAAGAAGAAGGGTCGGGTTGTAGTGGTCGATTTTGATTCCGCTAATACATCTACTATTCTCCCATCTGATCCCGCTAATCTCTCAGAATGTAATCGGCGATCACCGGGTTCGCCAGACGCGTAGCCAGCGGTGGAGGTGACCTCTTGGATGTTAACCTCATCGCAATGATGATGAATGAGCTGTAACCAGCCAACACAGGTGGCCTACCCCTTTCCATATCTGTACAGTCCCGAGCTTCCACGACAGATTCTGCATATATACCCTACCCATCTCCCCGGTCCGACGCACGCTTGCTCTCTCCGAGTCTTCCCTCTCCGCCTCCCTCGCCATGCCGCCGCCCAGTAAGGCTGACCTTTGGTCTACCGGTAAAGACGAAACGGTCGAGGTCAACCAGAGGGCTCTTATAGATAGTCAGATGATTCCGCACAAGTGCGATCTGAGCTGACGTCGCAGAGATCCTCGCGCGATATTCTGGTGAAAATACCAGTAGGTCCATTCTGGGCCGAAGAGACTAGAGTAATAACGATCAGTCTTTCGAGAGCTGCTACAGAATGCAGACGACGCAGGAGTGGGATCAATATCTTCTAGCCAGGGAGCGCGATACTGATTTCAGGCACAACATGTCCAAGTGAAATTCTATACTGAAGCGGGTCTGGCATCGCTAGACAGGGGAGAGGGTCCTTCTAAACTACCCGATGTCAAGAAGGATATGGTAGGCGATTGATCTTGCACGGCAACTACCGGTAAGCTTACCCAATCAGATATATCGATATGTAGTCACCAACGATGGTATCCCATTTCGAACGGAAGACTGGAAGCGGTTGAAGAAGATCGCAGAGGGGAATCCAGACGAGGAGAAGATCGGAGCGTGAGTCGTCCTTCGACAGTTGAGAGCTGACGAGCAGATTCGGGGTTGGTTTCTACTCTCTATGGAGCGTGTGTGGTAAGCCAGAACGCCTCTCATGTGGCTCTTGACTTAAGCGTAGATGACCCTTTTGTCGAGTCTGGCGACAAATGGATGGGCTTCTATTGGAAAGACGGTAAAGACCAGCTACTAGCTCGGTCGGGTGATCTTCCACCTTCGTCCTCGTCCTCTGCCCCCGAACCGTCGTCGAGCGGTAATCCTTGGACCAGTTTCACCATGGCGTTGCGTGAACCGACGCTCTTGGAAGGACCTCTGGACCTCGCTCGATTCTTCATCACCAGTCTGACGTTCATGCGAACAATGAAAAAAATCGACATGCTTGTTGACGACGTCAAAGTTCTAGAGGTTGATAAGCGTGTCAAGGGGAAAGAGAGGGTGCATAAAAAAGGCCTCAAGCAGACCAGCAGTGCGGGCATGATGACGGTGACTGGGGTCGACGCTACTGGTATGGTCATTACCGCCAAGGTCATGCAATGGCTAGCTGGTAAGTATTCTGGCCGTGTACTGGACAGCAAGCTGAACCGTGTAGCTACGGGGTTCACACCCTCACCCCTACCGGCGCCGATCGCAAGCCTCGCAAAACCTGCCAAAGCCTTCTCATCCTTCCTCTCCTCCTCCTTTTTCGGTCGGTCAAGCCCAGCGCCGGCGCCGGCTGTAGAAGCGCCGCCTCCGCCCCCCGATGATCCGTTCGAGGTCACAACGATCAGCCGGGACATCCAAATCTACCAAGCGGATATCAAGGTTTCGGTATCGCCCGCATTCGGGCGTGAGTTGGAACGCGCAACGAAGAAGCCTCCACCGAAGGCAATGCCTGCTAGCCTTGTGTTTTCCCGTGGAGACGAAGAGGCAACCGACAGCGGCAACGGGACACCAGGATCGGATGTCAAAAAGCAGGACACGGGCGGTGTCTTCTCCGGCCTATGCCCGGCTCTGGACGGAGAACAATCCGCCAAGGTCTTCATTGGCCAGGCCACTGGCCAGACAACCGGTATCGGGGGTCACCTCGCGGCTCGTTTCATTCCCACAGTCGAACGAGAATCCATCGATCTGGTCGACAAACACGTCTCGCATTGGAACAGGGAGCTACTCTGGGTCGGAGGCTACCTCGCACGACTCATTTACGAGTTGGAAATGCAAGAATTACAGACGCTTTGGATGACGACGTCAGTGAATGACACTACGATTCGAGCCCAACTACTCGCCCGCGGTCTGCATGCTCTCCGGTTTTTCACCTTTCACCCGACGACCCCATCCGCGATGGTGGGGCAGGGGATGGAAGCGGCTTTCTACGGATGTGGCAGCGACAACAAGACTTTACCGATCATCTCAACAGCTGGCATTCTGCCGATCAGTCAAGTGCGGCTACCGAATGCCGACATGCAGAAATTCTTGCCAGACATGCCGGTCATCACGCCTACAGCTCTCGAAGAAGCTGGCCGA